GACTTCGTTTTATAACAACGTTCGTCAATGACATCATATGCTTAATTTCCCCACACATTGGCAATATTACTATTACAGGAATCTAACGGACACCTGGATGACGGACTATCAAGAAATATTCATAGATTGAAATTCTGTGTCATAACAGCATTGATAATCGAATGTTTGTTTAGGGTCGTCTTTGTAGTGCGTTGTCTATGGACATATACGTTTAAGACTACCATACGACATATTGGGGGCATAATATTAGGTACGTAAACATGGATCCCATTAACTATTATTAAGGCTTTCCGCGTGGCTTCATTGTCGTTCTTATTATCCAACAGGAAGGGAGGCATATGTTCTTATAATCTGGACTTGGACAAGACATGCCGACTTTGATGCAGACAAAATTTTTTGGATATTTTCATTTCTTCTTCAGACCTTCTTCAATGTAATATTTAGTATTGCCTTTTTTATTCTAATGTCGGGTTCTTTGGATATACACATTCAGGCCATGGTTACAGTATTAATATGTGCATGGGGGATGTATGTGTTATATCTGTTTGGATATTTGGCAGTGAAGTCTATAAGATGGCTATTTCTACGTCTGAATAATAAGCAGACAGGGAACGTAACGATAATTCATAGAAAATTTTAATTTATACCAAACAGATTTATAGAGTATGTGTCACCGAATAATCTCCTGTTGTTGGTTATGTTGGTTCAACATGTAAACTATTACTATGCTATGAAGTTCATACGGGGTTTCCATTATGCTTGTATTTGTATTCTTCTTCACCAATTCATACATAATAATAGAAACATATCCATTATCATGACACGAGCGAACCAACTAAATTACACCGCTCTACCCCAAATTGTAAAAGATGATGATGGGATAGGTGTTAACACATTTAGCTGAGAAAAGAATAGTAAGTTCTTTGTCAAATTAACAATTCTCTTAAACTTGATATAATGAAATATGATGGATCCGAGTTTCTATTTATTATTTTCTTTTCCCGGCCAATACCAAATTGATGTTGGAATAGGAAGCTCATCACGTAGACACGATAAAAGTCGCTGAATTAAATAAAGCTCAGCGTTAATAGCAGATAATTTAATCTATTTAAAAGAAGCCAAAGTTTCAACTTTTTCTTTCACTAGTGTTAAGCTGAGTGTGCCTAAACTCAAGAAGTTGCTAAGGAATTCAAACTATTAAATCTGGTTCAAAGAGCAAAAAAAAATCATGAGATGTCACGTCCACAAATACTAGTGGCTTCTTGCGGAATATCTAACGTTGCATTGAAAATACACGAACTTCGCAATTCCCACCACCTCGTTTGACACAAACGTATCACCAAACTTGTATAATAGTAACAACTAGCCTCCATGAGTCGGAGCGTGCATTTATTGGTTTCACGTGATTCGATAAAAATGGTTCTTAGGTTTAAGAGCTTGCTTCTTTAACAAATTTTATGAACAAATTTCCCTAGATTAAATTTCAATATTCACTATTACTATTTAGCATATATATTTTATTCACTCATTTCAAATAAAATAGGGAAATTATCTCAGTGTACACGTGATATTATTCCAACTTGTATGAACCGTTTTTATTAATAATATTTAACGTCCCGATGGATTGTAACATATCAATACTACTATTTCTCCCCCGAGCGCCATTTTCATCTCGATCCATTACAATTCCGGCACTTTTTGAACGCTCCCACACCAGCTGCAAGTTTTTGAAGTATAGGCCTCGTTTTGGATAATAACACGGACCTAATTCTTCTGCTTTAGCCACCAGGCGTTGGCGAAATTGATAGTGGCCCCAGCAGAGCATTTTGCGAACGATTTTTCGTGTTATCTTGTTTTTCGATTTACCACGTTCGACACCTCAAAAGGAGGGATGATAATGGCATCGAATTCGCGAGTGAAAAATGCGACACTTTTTTTATATGAACTTCGCTTGATTTTTCGTCGCATCCGAGAGATTGCCTTATCAAGTCGCAAGGCCTGTTTCTTCTTACGTTTCGAACTAGAGACAGCCAGCTTGTCCTTTATTGCTTGCATAGGCGAATAATTCGTCCAATGTCGTATTGGCCAATTTTACCTACCCTACATCTTTAGTGGGAGAGTACCATGTGAAGGGTGTACTGCCAGGGTCGATGGAATACCCGAGGCAAATCCGCCCGATACCATAATAAAGCCTAGGAATGTATAAAAATCTTAGTAACAAATATCGGATTCAGTGAAAATCACCCACAACATAAGATTATATAGATAATATAGTCTCAGTTGTGGAACAAATAATTGGAGCTACAGCAAGCCAACAGCTTATTGAAGAACGTTCACAGGCGGTCCACCGTACGCCAGGACTGGGTACCTGACTGGCGACTTTCGCAAGCCGTGGCCACGATGCGCTTTCAATTCAAACGGTCAATGTATCCTATTCCACACCCGGAATGTATCCTATTCACTAGTACTGGATGCTAAATCAACATGACTGCGTAAAAACGTTACACACCAATGCTCTGGCAAGTTTGTATTGGCCAGATTTTCTGTGAAGAAATTCAAGGGAGACTTGAAAATTATTCTTGCAAAAAACAGAACAGCACAACTATGCGTAATGTCTGGATTTTGTTCCTCCTTGTACTTTTGCTGACTTTACGATCTGCTGAAGGCAGATCTACAACTGGAAATAGGGTGTTGGTTCTGCTTGATTCGATAGAGGAGAAAACTTTGTACGGAATATTCTTTGGAAATCTAGAAGGTCAGTTAACCCGCAATTATGAATAATTTCACGACGAAAATGATTTCATGCCTTCGGTGGTTGTTGCTGTTCACTTATACCGCCACTGCATTGCGCTATTTTATTGCATTGGTCTGCACTGATTTTGATCAATTGAAGCTCGCGCGCTAATTCTTGTAACTATCGTTACGCTGTTTGCCATGTTTTTATTTTCCTAACAAATTCACTAGGCCGTGGATACACTTTGACATATTCAATCCCATCAACTCCCTTCCTTGATCTCTTCCATAACGCCCTACGGTCATATGATCATGTGATCATATTTTCACCAACGACGAAAAATTATCCACCAACTCTCTCTCCTACTGCCCTTGTCTCTTTTGTCAATGCCGGGGGAAATATTCTTCTTGCAGCTTCTCCCGATGTCTCGGAAACTTGGCGCGATTTTGCTAGAGAATTTGATATCGAGTTCGATGAGAAAGATACTGTGGTCATCGACCATTTTAATTACGACGTATCGGATGGCGGAAATCACACTTTGATTGTCGTGGATAAGGAGGGCATAACTGATAATAATGTTGTTATCGAAAAGGAAGTCAAAGAAGGAGCACCATTATTATACAAAGGAATAGGACATAGAGCAGGATCGAATCCAATGTTGGTGAAAATTGCATGGGCTGGAGATACGGCATACTCATATGATTTAGGGATGAAAATGCAAGCTGACGATGGTACGCAGCTTTTATATGGAAGAACTATTGGATTGGTGACTGCAATACAGGCAAGGAATAGTGCCCGGGTAACTTTCGTTGGAAGTCTGGACATGTTTCAGGATGAGTGAGTTTCCGGTTTAAATGGCGCGCGTCGAGGATAGTAGACAGACAACAGAAAGAGGGTGGGAAAAGGGGAATGGAGGAGAAGAGGCCATTCATTTGCTAAAACTGGCACTCATTTATGTCCACTGAACTAATACCTTACTGTTGTGTCGCAATAGGTTAATTAACGCGTCTGTGAAAAAAAGAGAATCGCCTTCGTCGTAAGTCATCATCGACACATCTAGTTTATTGTAATTAAACCGTTCGGTATTAATTGGTTTTTGTCGCTGTGAATAGGTATGCCAAGTCTGGGAATGAAGACTTTCTAGGAGAATTAACTAAATGGACATTCCAAGAAAAGGGTATTTTACGTGTTATTTCACGCGAAGTTCACAAAGAAGGTGAGCATGAGCAGCACCATACGTATCGCATTAAAGATGATGTGGTAAGTTCGTTTTCTCTCTCTATATATCCCTCATTTTTCGACTTCAGTTCTATTTCGCCAGCCAAAATTTTATAAACAAAACTACTTATTCATACTATCAATATAGCAATACGCCATCGAGATTTCCGAATATTCCGGTCACTGGCAAGCATTCAATGCAACTGATGTCCAGTTGGAAATCATAATGCTTGATCCATACATACGCACAACTCTCAACCCTCTCCCAACACTACCTACTCAGAATGCGCGTAAATTCGGAGCGCAATTGAAGCTGCCTGACGTTTACGGTGTGTTCACTTTCAAAGTCAATTATAAGCGACCGGGATACACTTATATTGAAGATCGGACTACAATAGCGATAAGGCCATTTAGACACAATGAATATCCAAGACTCTTAAGTGCGGCATATCCATATTATGTGGGCGCTGGGTCAATGATAGTGGGATGGCTTGTGTTTGTAATAGTCTGGCTGTTTAACCAGGACAAGGAGAGGTTAGAGAAAGTTGTACAGAAGAAAGTTAGATAATCTAAAGTGAAATAAATTAACTCTATTTGTATAGAATGAAACATACAGAGAGTAGAATCCGATAATCAACTAAGTTTACACTTGTGTATGGTACTACTATTTTATGGCTGTAAACAATACCTTCGAACGAATACAGTGGTTAATTTTATATAGAAACATTGCTTTACTCCTCTGTGTAGTCGCCATGGTCAATCACGGTCGTGTAGCATATAATGATAAAGCATTTTAAATCATACATTAAGATTCTAATGTGACATCATTCAGACAAGTGACAGAAAGGCTTGAAATAGAAAATACAAGTAATAATGGATATTGTCGCGGTCTAGTATATCTATTGACACATCCCAATAAGCACTTCTGCAAAACTAAACGTTTATTATTAAAGTCACACAAACGTTTCCACTCTGTCCAATAATATCTTACATACGTGATATGTAAAGACCAAAAAGAAAAAATTCCAACTGCATTTCTTCTATCACGATGCCTTCAATGGATGCTCAAACAGAACAATCTCCTGACAATACGAAAAAATTAAAAGTAACATACCAAAGAATAGACCTCGGTGAAGTGACGCCTAATAACATTGGACAGTTGAAAAGATTGAACTCGGTCATATTTCCTGTAGCGTACAGCGAACAGTTCTACAAGAACGTACTTGAGGTCGGAGAGTTTGCCAAACTTGGTAGGTTCGATTTCGTAGTCTTGACTAGTAAGGGAGAGTCTTGAATGAGCGCATTAGGGAGAAGAAAGAGTGGTCAAGGAAAGTAAGCAAACAAGTGTTTTGGGAACGCGTCAGAATGTCGTTCACGTGAATTGCTTGATAGTAATAAGATCTTTCGTTATAGACTCCTACCATCCGCATTTCCTCTTGTAGAATGGTATTAACAACTCATTAACTTTACCTACGTCAGCATACTTCAATGACGCCTGCGTTGGAGCTGTCTGCTGTCGTAAAGAGCCCATCCCAAATTCTCCTGATCGGGCCAATTTGTACATAATGACACTTGGAGTACTCGCTCCCTACAGACACCTTGGTATAGGTATATATTTCGAATAATATTTTATTCAAAGGATTCTGTACAATCCGACTGGCTTTGTTAGATTTCGTACTAATTTCTCATCACGAATCGCTCAAGGCACTACATTACTGAATCACATCCTACATCATGCGACTCTCCCGTCACAAACGCCAAAATTTGTCGAAATATATTTGCACGTTCAGACATCGAACGAGGAGGCACTTGCATTTTATAAGAGAAACGATTTTGAAATTGTTGGCACCCGTGAAGGGTATTATAAGAGAATAGAACCGCCAGATGCGCATATTCTCAAGAGAGTTTTGATTAAAGATTAAAGAAACATTGTGTGAAATTATACGTGTATTGTGAAAGAGAGAGATTATGAAAAGGTAAAATTGGAAGTGCTTGTTTTGGATCATGACGTTGTACAATAGCGTTGATTTTGGTTTTTAACAAGTTTAAATCTTGGTTAGATATTCAAGAAAAGTAGAAAGGGCGTAATGACTTGAGATGTAAACGAATAATCGATGTTTACTCTATTCACTACTCACAGCATAGATTATGCTCATAATAATGTATTTGGTGTTGGCTAATTTATGTGAAATTCAACCATAGTATGATGCTTGCTCCTATGTTTTACCAGTCACCTGGACAAGAGATTAATTCGCTAAATTATTTAATAATTTTTTTATTATGTATTTTTCAATCTGTTCTTCCGGTACTAGTTTTGCCTTTTGCGTGACGAATAGTCCATATTAGCATATATGAATTGTAATTCAATTTATTGCCGCGTGAATCGCGTTAACACGAAGATTCAATGAATTTGCTTTAATCTATTGTCAATGGCCGGAAGCCTTCCGACTTACAATTCTTTTCTGTAAAAGTCACATGACCGCTTCACGGAGATCTGAATCCATCCCCGAACCATGATCTAATTCCAACTTATCATGCAATCATACGCTGCTGTTATCCTCGACATTGAAGGGACCACGACTCCAATTTCTTTTGTTCATGATACTCTGGTATATTAAGATTATTTCCTGATAAATATATGTATATCTTGATAACTATTTTCACTCTAATTCCTGCTCACACCATATTGCGCTAATATCAAATTGAGTCTTCCAGTTCCCATATGTTACAAATAACATTGAAAAGTTTTTGAGAGAGAACTGGGGTAGACCGGAATTAGAGGAGCAAATTGATCTCCTGAGAGATCAGGTAATTTTCTGGCTAGCTGTTTGAAATTGGTTGACAGTGAAGAGGATGGTAACCTAACAATGCATGCAAAAGTCTCACTACATTAATTTATGACAGGCTTCCATTGATGTGAAAGATGGTATTTCAGATGCAAAATGGATTCCAGACAAGAGTGCTGATATGTAAGTGCTTAGTGACAGTCTTTAAGAAATACTTGCAACCTTACAAACTATGCCAATTTATTAAAAGCAGTTCCTCAGAAGACATGCAAGCAGCGGTGATATACAATATCACGTGGCAAATGAAACAGAATCGTAAGATAGGAGCCTTGAAATCATTCCAGGGTTATATGTGGAAGAGTGGGTATGAAACAGGAGATCTGAAAGGAATGTATGTGTTGAGATGCAAATTATGTTAATCATCTAATCATCTTGTGTAGAGTTGGCATAGCTATTTGAATTTAATGCATTATTGTTATACCTAGTATTTATGATGACGTTGTTGAAGCGTTTCATAAATGGAATCATATGGGTTGCAAAGTCTACATCTACTCATCAGGAAGTGTACAAGCACAGAAACTATTGTTTAGTCATTCAAACAAAGGTAATCTTCTAGAGGTATGTTACAACATCAATTTATATTTTAAGTTTAGAAATTCATCAGAGTCAATACAAACCTAAACTTTTTTGAAACAATTTACAGCATCTTTCTGGTCATTTTGACACTAATATTGGGCCCAAGATCAAAAGTGAGAGTTATGTGAATATTGCAAAATCCATTGGAGAACAAACAAAGAATATCATCTTTCTTACTGATAGTGCCCAAGGTAAATTTAATTGGTTTTATAAGAATTGCCATAGTTTACAAACACTAAACAATGAATACTATATTTCTCCCCCTTTATCTTTTAGAGGCTGTTGCAGCTGAAGGGGCTGGGCTACAAGTGGTCATTGTAGTGCGACCAGGGAATGCATCATTGCCATCTTATATTACTGAGAATGCAAATATTAAAATAATTGATAATTTTCTCACATTGTTCAACAAGTGAAATATTTATTCAAGAGTTGGTTAACATACATACAATTAAAAGATGACAAGTTGCCAAGCATATAATGATAAATTTAATTAATTCATGGGTTCAACGGCGGTTCACATATTGTTCTCAGGACACCTTAATATGAATAGTGTTAGTAAGGATTAGCACGGCATCAATTATTTTGTAGCAAAAAATAGAAATGCATGACGTACCATTAATTATAAATGCAGTCAATCCCCATATTTCAATGCCAATCCACGGTGGCGTTTGGAATGTCTGCAATAAATTAAATGATTATCAATGTCGATTGACAAGCCCTTCTTACACAGTTTCTCGCATACTGTACTTACAGTATAATAATAATTTGTGTCTCTAAACCTCTTCTTTGTTCTATTAGTTGGATTCAATAGCTCATCCAGAGTAAGTGTGAATACGTCAGATACTTCATGGTGGTTGTATTTTATATCATTGACATCGACTGGTTGTTTTATATATCCTACAATAGGATAAACTACCAAGGATTTATCTACGCTTGGGAGTGCAGCATGCTGGCCCAGAATCTCGATCTCTGATGGAAGAATATTAATCTCTTCGTACGTTTCTCTGAGTGCTGTGTCTACAATTGTTTTATCTTCGGGATCTCTTCTACCACCGGGAAGGCTACATCCATTGGTTAATATAGTGATATAGAAAATTAATACACACATCAGTGTCAAATCGACGTCGTATTGCAATGATCGTTGTAGTTGTTCCCTCCAAACGTCCATCATACCTCACCTCGCCGCTGTGTGATTTCAATCTGCTACTTCTAATTGTAAAGACTACACTTTCTTTACCATTCACTGTACATAGTGGCTTTTAGATGGATAAATTAATACTGTGACAACCATCAACGAACCAGCCCATTGTCAGTACTTAAAAATGGCAGACAACTCACTATTAACACAGCTGCCTCATCTACTTTTTTGTCCCTCAATTCCCAGCTAAACTGGTAACGATTAATGTTTCTCTTATTCGCCAATCTGCTTCGAATTTGATTCAGCACGGTTGGTGTAAAATGAATATTATGTATACTAGCAACATTCGAATGTAAGCGATGTTGATTAGATAGAATTCTTATTCTGGTCGACGAATTGTTTAAAAGAGATGTGAATAGCGATCTGCTCAACATTGTTGGCTAATTTATGCGAACCAGGGATTCTACTGTTGTAAGTCTCGCTACTTACTGTCTTATAAGCAACAATCTGGATCACATCACCTGTATACTCTCACACACGAAGGTTAACAACTAATATTGAGAGATGATCATTAACATTTAAGGTAAGCTGCCACTAAAATTGTTGTCATTGTACCCATTACTTACTGCATATCGTTCCGATCTCTTATCCAATGAATGTTTGACTTATAGTGAAACCTCCATAAATGCCCGAGAGCTGTGCATTTATGGAAGTTTTGCCTTTATTTCCAACCAAGCTACAGGTGAAACCTGCCTAAACCGGCGCTGATTAAAACGGTCTCGGGTTTAACCGGCTGCATAACAAAGTTTCATAATTGGAAAATTTCTTTATCTAAACGTTTATCTGAACCGGAAAACAGCCCGCCGATTTAAATAGGTTTCACCTGTACTAAAAAGTTTGACTATTCGATATCCCTAATTGTTAACTAGGAATTGTATTTGTTGAATTTACCAGGTTTGCAAAAATGAAATTCTCCTAACCCCATTAACAGCTTTTGTAAATGAGACAAACTTAAACCTGCAATTCTTTCTAGATCTGTAACGATTAAAACCTTTTTGCTAGCTTCAAAGCTACTGTAAAACGAGACAAACAGGATCAAACTCAATAACTAATTCTTCATTTGGATTGAGACATCAGAATGTAAGTCACGTGGGACTCGCGCAAATCCGTGCTTTCACTGTACGTGTTTTTGTCTTTATGCTACTAGAACTAACGATGATCTATGCAGGGGAATGAACCCTCCTTGGCTAGCAGTAACACGACTGCACGGAAGGGTTGTGTAAAGAAGACACCATACTAAAATCTTTTCTTCTTTGCTGTTCGTTATACGCGTCATTATCCACAGTCTTATCTAAATTTCTTCTTCCACATATCTTATCCTTTGAATCGACTCAACCTGCTGTCATTTACATTCTTGTTATAATTTTATTTAAGTACATTTAGAAGAAGTATTATCAATTAAAATAATGGATAGACATTCCTCTGCTCATATCTCATCGTTCGAAAGAAAATTGATAATACACGATTACAGTATATTGTCAACTAGCGTGGCAAAAAGAGATTTCTAACACGGAAGTCAACTGCAAGATTAACAGCCCTTTGCTGATGGTATAGTCAATCTTGTCAAAGATTGTAATAAGAATTATGCAGAGCCGATGGTGATACTACTTCTAATCTAAGAAGCTGAGCCAAAAGTACCGAACTAACGAGTACCATTATAGTACAATGCCAGATAACAGCGAACAAATGTTGGGCCAAATTTCAAATTAGGATTATGAAACGTGAGGCACCAACTGGTAGCGACAGCCCTTGGAGCTAAGGCTAAGGCAAAAGCTAAATCTCAAGACCAGTTGATCGCATGCGCTCTCTCCACACGACCGCAAATCTAGGTATGACCATTCTCCAACAGATGCGTTTCATCAAAGTGGCGGCCTCTGACCGTCTTACATCAGCTCTATAGTCTATTTGAGATTGATAATAACATGTTAATATTAACTCCCAAATCACTTAAACATTTCCAAGTCAAGTCAACGCGGCTCACATAAATTCTGATGTTATTGTGGTTCGTATTGGAACACAGGTACTGGATATAAAGCATCAAATCCTCCGACTCCTCTTCTCATCTATTAATCACTACTGCGTTTCATATGTGGTGAATGGGAGGTTCTGGATGTGTTGCTGAAAAAGAACTCATGGCCGTTCTCTTTTAGGATTGTTTCATCGTAATGTCGGATCCCAATGAGTTGAGTAAATTGCGAGATAGAGAAGCTGACCTTCTTCGGATTCTTCGCTTAATACTAATACATGTTAAGTTGTGGGTGTAGTATCCTGAAACCCCTGACCATAACCATGTGATATAGGAAAGTAAACCGCCGATCCATGTACGACACTAACATGAGGTGAAGCAGAACTCTTGACCATCTTCACGCTCTCTTGTATCGTATCATATTACGAAATGGAAGAAGCCTATCCTACCGAGAATCAAGAGGTACTTTTGAACATTTGGTTTTATGGCTATCTGATTTTTTACACAACCCAACACCTTTGTTTCCAGAGATTTCACTTTGTAGTTAATAATAATTTAAGCGCAGGGACAGCATATTTGAGATAATCCCATTGCTTAACTATGTGTTCTTATTCTCTGCGATTTCTCTAATATTACAGTCAGGGAAAACAGACATTTCTGCCGAGTCGCCGATAAGTTCGATATCACATCTCAGACATAGCAAACACTCCTCTTTTGAGGACGGCGTTACAATCCACAGACACTCAAAGACATCATCCATTGACTCTGAATTTGGTGATTCCAAAAGATTTTTTGATATCGAGAAAGTCAAAGTTATCATTAAAGAGGTGAATATGGTGTTAATGCAAAAACAAGTGCTGTTTTTAGATTTGTCTAATATTTTGTTGTAGACTATAAATGAAATCATGGGGGATTCGCTGTACATACATACGAGAGCAGCAGAATGGAATGTCAAAATTGTAAACGGATGCTTGGAAAAACTGATTGCATTGGGGAAGGCATTTAAATACATAGGTAAGTTCAGATGGTGAGATCCATGGATAGCACGTATTCCCAGTAGATACTTTTCTAATGTGATCATAACTTTTGTTAGTTACTTGTACAATTGTACAGAAAAACGGAGCAGGTATACACTCCACAAGTCTTTGTCATTGGGATCCAAAGCAAGACGGTAAGTATGTTATATAAGAGTCACCCTTTACGACCGTCTTTCGTGTGTTTCTGTTCAGAATTTTAATCAGTATGTTTACGATTTGACAGATAGCGCCTCTTATCGGCATGAAATGAATAGTATGTATGTAATTGTCAACGTATTTGGATTGAGCGTGTGAATCACCCGCTTTTATATCAAATAACAATTGAATAAATAATAGAGTCTATAAATTATTTGCAATTTATTTTGCACCACTGCTTAATAAACTCGATTCACTAATTAAGCGAGTGTAAGATTGAATTCACGCGATAATTCCAGTGGGCAAGAAGGAACTCGTAAGACAATCTTCTGACATAATGGAACTCCATAGCAACAATAACTATGAGTAATAGAGTTCAAGATTCATTCCATCGTTGATTTCATCTGTATCGCAAAGGATGGTGTTAATAAGAGGCAGAACCAATACCAAAACATGATTAGACAAGGAACTTACAATCCTCTAATGTGATATGGTCTTTATATACAGTGTACCTATGTAAAAAAAAAATAATACACGTGGTGAGAAGGACAGAACATAAGCCAATAATATGAAAACATTGATGGCTTATACGTATGACATGCTATCTATCATGCAGCAAGTATCGATTACAAAAGACGACGCAATACTTTACCATTTCTTTAAAATAATTTTAGTTGCACTCGTACCAGTTTGCGCTGCAATCAGTTTCTTCAAATGGCCTATAGTGTCAGTGGGACTACGCACATGTTAATATATCAGTAACCAGTTTGTGTTTTTATACGTACGCAAGTAATGTGAATGTTGCTTACTTGCACTTTACACGAACTTTCTTGCCGAGACGGTCGTTGCAGATTATTTCGATCATTTTCTATTGAAATAGCTATTCGTGGAGACAAGCGGAAAGAGTAGAAGTCAAAGTCAGTTTTTGCTGTGCACGATGGATGCCGTAGCTAAAAATGCCCAACGGTTGCGAGATGGTATGATTGGATATATTAGTGGTACAATATCTTGTAACTTGGAGATTATTTATTCTAACACGCTTACATCATGTGATTGATTTCTCTTTTTGGATAAACCTTAATTCAATGATCGCCACGGAATATTATTACCTAACAACTAATGTAATACGGAGAATTTAATCTACATTATAATATCGAATATTATCCGCGGTTATAATGAAAATGTCTACAAATATCGAGAAACTTGTCGATACATGAGAGACTCGGACAAACATTATTAAATTAGATTTTTATCGTGGTACTAGTATTGACAAAAGGAGTTAAAATTACGTGATTTATGTCTTGACACAGGTCAAACAATGTTATTATTATGGTCGTACCACTTGAATCGTACCTATTATCGGCCAATATTCCCATAATAATAATAATAATAGATTCACGGATAGCCTTATTTGCAGAACTCTGTATGCAAAGCGGGTGGGGGAGCGATTCACCCGACCTTAAAACACAGTGATTTCTTTACAGCATGAATCTGGTTCGATACGCATATAGTATTATCCAAATTTATTCATCTGTCACACAACCATCAGTCGCAGATTTTACATTCTTTATATATTTATACAATGTGCCTCGGGTTGCTCTGTAAGGCGGGGGGGTCCACTCGGCTCGCCTCTTTACAAATTCTTCCTTTGTGATATCAACATTAATCGCCCTATTCGTGGCATCGATTGATATTCGGTCCCCATCGCAAACAAGCGCAATTGGTCCGCCAGCCTGTGCTTCGGGGGTGATATGACCGATGATGAACCCCTATTAACGTGAATAATTAAAAGCAATTCGAAAATTAACAAATCATAAAAAGGGGGGAAAGCTTTTAGAACGCAGATATTACTGTATGCTTACGTGACTTCCGCCGGAGAAACGACCATCCGTTAATAGTGCAACATCATCTCCAAGACCGGCGCCCATAATAGCACTTGTAGGTGTTACTACGACCATCAAAAGGAGATGCGACCGTCAACATAAGGAATAATGTTACAATCCGCATCGCACAATTAATTTCAAACTCTTACTTACACATCTCGGGCATACCAGGTCCACCTTTAGGCCCTTCGTATCGAATAATAATGACCTGACCTTTCTTAATTTCTCCCTTTTCGAACGCACTCAACATCAACTCTTCACTATCAAACACCTTTGCAACACCTTCAAATATCAGTCCTTCTTTTCCGGTAATCTTTGCCACAGACCCTTCGGGCGCTAGATTTCCACGAAGGATCTGGATGTGTCCGGTGGATTTGATTGGATTCGATAGTGGTCGAATGATATCCTGATCGAAAGCCAGATCCGGGACGTCATCCATATTCTCTGCAAGTGTCTTCCCCGTTACCGTCAATGTATCTCCATGAACGAGATTGTTCTGTAATAGGTATCGTAATAAGACTATGGTAGGATTGGACAGAATTTAAATTCTTAGCAAACAAGTAATACGAAAAGACTTGGGTAGATACGCGACAAATACATACCAGGGACACCACCAATCTTACACAAGTCTTCCATCACGTACTTCCCACTGTTGAGAGAAAAGCACGTGCATAATTGTAATTAGTAATGATTTCCTTTTCGTTTCTCCAAAGTCCGTTTTGTTCAAAATAATTGTCATGTCCCTTGCCTCGGTTTGAGATCAGCCAGAAGCGGTGTGGTATCGCTAACTTTCTGGAAATCGTCTAGCGTAAGGTCAATATTTAAAGCCCGTGCAATAGCAATCAAGTGCAAGACGGCATTCGTTGACCCGCCAAGTACCGTGACGATAACCATGGCATTTTCAAAGGCTTTTCGTGTCATAATATCTCTAGGCTTGATGTCCTTTTCCAAAAGATTACGGATGGCCTCGCCAGCCTTGCGGCACTCATCCAACTTTGCTGGATCTTCTGCTGGCGTTGATGAGCTATAAGGTAGACTCATACCCAAAGCCTCGATAGCAGACGCCACTGTTGTAAAGAATACAATTATCGACTTTTGAGATTAAGATTGTAAAAAACAAAACTGATCATTAAGCAAATACATATTTACTTGTATTAGCGGTATACATTCCGCCACAAGCACCGGGACCTGGACACGCGTGTCTGACAATATCACATCTTTCCTCCTCAGTTATCTTCCCAGCCATGTAAGAACCGTATGACTGGAACGCCGATACGACATCCAAAACACCTTGTCCACATTTGGACTGTCCAGGTCGAATAGTACCTCCATAGATCATAATAGAAGGTCGGTTATGTCTTGCCATGGCCATTACGCATCCGGGCATATTTTTATCACAACCGGGAAGGGCAATGTTTGCATCATACCACTGAGCACTCATAACCTAAGTTGAGAACAGAAATATAAAATATAAAGACAAGTGTTGACATTCCCAATTCGATTTTTTATTAATTTTTGGTTATGATTTACTTACCGTCTCGATAGAATCAGCTATCAAATCACGACTTTGCAGCGAATAGCGCATACCTGTAGTTCCCATACTTATGCCATCGCTTACACCAATGGTGTTAAAACGATAGCCAATAAGACCAGCCTCTTTCATACCTTCTTTTACTTTCGTCGCTAGTTCGAGAAGGTGCATATTACATGGATTACCTTCATACCATCTATAACATTCGAAAAGATGTTAAATCGTGATGTAGGAATAGCTGTCATGCGGTTTACAATTGATAATTGATATACAGACACGCTGGCAATACCAACTTGTGGTTTATCCATATCTTCCGCCTTTAATCCTGTAGCATATACTGAGATCCGAGTCTATCGTTAGCGATAATATAATCAACTGATATGGATCTTCAGTCAATACGTTATTACATACACCACAATCCATTATGTCCACAAGTCCTAGAAAATTTTTTACCCAGGATATCTTGCCACTATGCTTTACTATCAAACACACTTACACATTGCTTGTGCAGCGCCCTGGGCCTTGTTTTTGGTTATATTCTTACTATATTTATTCAATTCGCCGGAAGAAGCATAGCGAGGGAACTGGGATTTTGCTACTTTGGCAAGTTTGTGACTGGGAAAATTTTTACTATAAACATAAGATATTTAAACGCAAAAAGGCATAGCATCGTTTACAACTTTACATTTGAACCTCCCCAGCAATTCTGTTGGCGACCCCCGAACCTTTCTTTGCAATATTGGACATCATTATAAGTCACGATCGGATTCAGTGTGAAAGGTGGAAAGTTTTTGAATACGTGTAACGTGGACATCAAATATTTATCCTTTTTGATCGATATTGAAATATGCCTTTAGCATTTAAAGTTCACTAGAGTGGCTGACTGCACGTGAAGAAAATACTCGAATCCAAAGCAATTGATGAGTATTTGTGGGAGGAATACAACACTACTTAATATTAGTCCTCACAACGCAGGTTTGTCTATAATGTGTCTCTGCAACTTTACAATCACAAATATGTTATACAATAAACTATACACTAAGAAACTACTCAATGCGAGTTTGTTAATTGCTAGGTACTAAAAGTAGTTCCTATTACTATTACTGTCAAAGTTCAAAATTAGAAATGAAACTTCCTGTAACCATGCCTATCAAATGCATCCGTCACTGGTAAGTATGGTTTGCATAATTCAATGTCAAAATAAAATAATTCTTTATGGACAAACCCATTTTATGAAATAATTTTAATTTCGAAGACCAATTCTCAAAATTTAGCTCCAAGGCTATGTTTTCTTGTGCCCCGATAGTCGAACTATTCTTTTTTGTCTTCTGGCGTCCGCTTAATGTACGGCTAGTTATTACTCTCCGTAAGCTGGCCTAATTCAGCCTCCTAAGCTTTCGTTCAACGACAACGACGCACACGAATAGATAATAATAATAATCGTTAGTCGAACAGTGTACGTGTATTAATTGCACATCTTTACAATAAATTGCCGGATCGGATTTCATGAAATTTTACTAGTAAACCATATGAAAAGTCATTCTTTTCATGTATGCTATGCAAATGACAATAGCTTTTGTATGATTTTGAAGCTAATTGATTGTACTTTCGAAAAAAAACAACGATAGATTTTTACACATTATTATATAGTCGTAGCTCGATGAAAAAGTAGTATACACAGTGGCTCTCTTTATAGTGGAGACACAAAATCCAACAGTTTTCTACACTATAACGAGCTATACACAAAAAA